TGAAATATCGCGATATTTCAGTGTATCGATATTTTCTTACACCGCTACTTACTTGCCTTAACCTAATACAGCAAATAAAACAAGGCATTTATTGAATTCAGCGCAGACTAGCTCATTGACTCATTGACTAGCAGAGAGTATTTCCAATTCCTCAATTTGACCAGAGAAAAGGGGAAAACACAAGCTCGTCCAACCAAATCTGAATTTTTCTGCTGCATTTGCACTCTAGCCACACACTAGTGCTGCACAATTACTCAAAATATCGATTATGTTGATTATAAAAAAAATAGTATTGAATATTAATATTATTTAACCTCGTAAATGTTCATTTGCATCTGCAATGAAATAGGCAAACTGCTGGGGGCAGGATCGCTTCTATCATCTGCAGTTACACTGTTTACTACTGAAGAAGAGGTGTAATCTGCAAACCACATCAGAAGACGTAGCAGTAGGCCTGTCACAATAACAAATTTTACTGTATGATTGTCTCAGACATTATTGCGATAATATTGTTGGAGACCAGTTTAAACTAATATAATGATATAACACCTGATTATGGAAGCTTGCAATTAAATTTACATAGTGTAAAAAGAAAAAAACAACTGTCGGCAATCCCAAGGCGGCGCCAGCTGTATGAAGGCATCAGAAAACTGAAGACACTCCTCTGGCTAAATGCCTATTCATGGGCTTTCATGCTACAGAGGTTAGGAGACCATGCAAAAAAGAAGGAGACACAAAGAAAAAAAAGCAGGCAAATTAAAATTGTCTTCATTTTAATTTATCTTCCTCAATATAATTTATCATACAATTAAAAGATGTATTGTTTATTATGACAGGTCTACGCAGCAGGCTCATCAAAGAACAATAATAATGGCACAATCAAAACTCATTAAAGCAGTAGGGCCCTATAATTTCCGCGATGCGGAAAACGCGGACGGAATCGYGGAATTGTGTAAAACGCGGAAGTTCACGGAATCTGCTTATTTGGGTGAAGTTCTGAGGTATTTTGGTCGCTAATGCGCACCGTAGATGCAGCTGCCTGGCCACACACACACACACACACACAGAGCGGAGCAGAGCGGAGAGGGGAGAGAGAGGGGGGAGAGAGAGAAAAAAAAGGTAATGGCGAAGCGGCTTTCAGGAATGACGATATCCTCGAAGAAATTAAAAAATGCTAAGCTTAGCGCAAAGTTTAGGGCAGAACAGTACCCCAGCGATTTTTATGAATCTGGAGAACAACTTTTCTGTAAGTTTTGTCAGCATACTATCGACTGGATGCGTAAAAATACATGTGATGACCACTTACAGTCAAAGACTCATCTCAGAAACAAAGAGAAGAAACAAGCGAGCGCGCGACAGACACACCAGCAAACGCTTCAACATTCTTCTACATCACTTGAAGTGAGGCGTGAGTTTATCGAAGATTTTGTTGCTGTGTGTGCCGAATCTGACATTCCTTTAGAGAAAATGAGGAAGCTTCGTCCGTTTTTGATGAAACACTGTAAGCAGGGGGGGGGGGCTCTGCCAGAACATGTGAGCAGCCTTCGTCAAGTCCACCTACCATGTGTTTTTGAACAACATATTGAAGCTGTCCATTAGAAGTTGCAAGGTAAAAAAATATC